TATGAATGTTCTATATTTGCACTCTTCGATATGGAAGACACTAGCCCTGTGTGTCTAATGAGCACTTGAAATATGGATAGTGTGACTGAGGAACTGACTTTTTTGGGTTTTTTGCTTATCTTTTTAAAAATACTATTCATAGCCGGTTTCGATGTCTCAGCCTGTAATCCCGCGCCTTTGGGAGGCTGAGGTGAGTGGATTGCCTGAGCCCATGGGTTCGAGAACCGCCTGGGCAGCGAGACCTCATCTTTACAAAAAATAAAAAAATCAGCCAGGCATGGTAGCGCATGTCTGTAATTCCAGCTACTCGGAAGGCTGAGGTGGAAGGATCGCCAGAGCCCAGCAGGTCGAGGCTGCGGTGGCCGGGAGCGGCCACTGCACTCCAGTCTGGGTGACAGAGTAAGACTCCAACTCAAAAAAATAATTAATAAATAAATAAAAATAAATCATAAGGAAGAAAAAAATATTTACTACTCATTAAGTGAAAGTGGGTCATCATAAAGGTCTTCATCCTTTTCATCTTCACATTGAGTGGGCTGAGAAGGAGGGAGAGGAGGGATTGGTCTTGCTGTCTTGGGGGTGGCAGCGAGGGAACAAACTCCAGCTATAAGTGGACCCATGCAGCTGAAATGGTGTTCAAGGGTCAAATGTATGAGGATGTGTGGCCTTTATAGAGGTAATTAAGGGCCGGGCATGGTGGCTCTCTCACCTGTAATCCCAGCACTTTGAGAGGCTGAGGCAGGAGAATCTCTTGAGCCCAGGAGTTCAAGACCAGTTTGGGCAACATTGCGAGATGTAGTGTCTACCAAAAAATACAAAAATTAGCTGGGCATGGTGACATGCACCTGTAGTCCCAGCTACTTGGGAGGTTGATGTGGAAGGATCGTCTGAGCCCAGGAATTTGAGGTTGCAGGGAGTGGTGATCATGTCATTGCACTCCACCCTGGGCAACAGAGTGAGACTTTGTCTTAAAAAAGCAAAAAACAAAACAAAACAAAAACAGCCAGATGTGGTGGCTCATACCTGTAACCCTAGCACTTTGGGAGGCCGAGGCAAGACGATTGCCTGAGCTCAAGGGCTCAAGAACAGCCTGGGCAACTTGGTGAGCCCTCGTTTCTACAATAAATTTAAAAGTTAGCTGGTGGCATGTGCCTTGGTTCCAGCTTCTTGGAAGGGTGAAGTGGAAGGATCACTAGAGCCCAGCAGGTTGAGGCTGTAGTGGCCGTGAGCATGCCACTACACTCCAGCCTGGGTGACAGAGTGAGATTTGGAAAAAAAAAAAAAGGAGGTAATTAAGGTAAATTAGGTCATATGGGGACAGGGAAAAGGCCATGTGAGGACATAGTGAGACAGTGGTAATCTGCAAGTCAAGGTGAGAGTCACCAGGAGCAACCATATGTGCTGCCTGACACCTTGATTTTGTACTTTAAGCCTCCAGAACTGTGAGAAATAAATTCACATTCTTTAAGACCTCCAGGCTGTGGGTTTTTTTGTTATGGCAGTCTTAGCAGATGAATACACTGGATATGGGTCTTTAGTCATCTATTTCCAGTACCTTGTGAGTTCACTCAACTGAAACTTATTTTCTTCTTCATCTAAAAAAAACCCCCATATTAAAAAAAAAATTATTTCCTCACTTCCTTTTTTAGTTTTTTTATTGTAAAAAACACATAACATGAAATGTACCATCTCAATCATTTCTAAGGTATAGTTCAGTCGTGTTAAGTATATTTACATGGTTGTACAACCCATATTCAGAACTTTTTCATCTTGTAAAACTGAAACTCTACACCTAATAAACAACTGCCTATTTCTCCTACCCCCATCCCCTGGCTTTTTGCTTTCTGTTTCTATCAATGTGAGTACTGTAAACCTCCTGTGAGTGGAATTATATTGGATCTGTCTTTTTGTGACTGACTTATTTGACTTAGCATAATGTCCTCAAAGTTTATCCATGCTATAGCACGTGTCTGAATGTCTTTCCTTTTTCCTCTTTCTTTCTTTTTTTATTTTTCTTTCCTTCCTTCCTTCCTTCCTTTTTTTGAGTCAGGGTCTCACTCAGTTGCCCAGGCTGCCTGGAATATAGTGGCATGACCATGGCTCACCATGTTCATGACCTTCTGGGCTCAGCCACCCTTCCACCTCAGTCACCCAAGTAGCTGGGATTATAGGTATGTGCCACCATGCTCAGCTAACATTTTTTATTTTTGTAGCAATAAGGACTCAGTATGTTGCACCAGGCTGGTCTTCAACTCCTGAACGCAAGTAATCCTCTCACTTCAGCCTCTTAAAGTGTTGGGATTAATGGAGTGATGGCCTTTTCTTTTTTTTTAAGAGACAGGGTCTTGCTATGTTGCTCAGGTTGGTCTTGAACTTCTAGTGTCAGCTGATCCTCTTGCCTCAGCCTCCCAAAGTGCTGGGGTTACAGGAATGAGTCACCACACTGGAAGTTCTTTCTTCTAATATTGGCAGTGTGTCGCTGTAGACCTACTCCTCATCTTTCCTCTGTCTTTGCTACTATTTGTCAGAGGCCACTGCTGGGAACTGTGAGAAGTTAAATCAATAGAGGGTAGGACCCTGAACGCTTCCCAGTGTCCTGTTCCCTTTGGTTATCTGCCTGTGGTGAGTGACAGCTTCAGAGAAAACCTCATGCCGTAATGTTATATAGGAATTTGTACCAGTTTTAGAAGGCACTGGATGCCTTCTCCCCCTAACTTTTGGACTAATGTTGCCCCTAAATCCAAGATGAAGCTCAGTTGCTGGAGTTTTGGTTAGATTTAGAAAGAGTTACTGCTCAGCTGATGAATATGTTTTATTTGTGTTTTGCATTGGAATTAGAAAAGTGAATCATAAAAGTTGTTCTGATTTGGACTGACTTATCAATCTGTCCAGTTTCCCCTGGATCACCCCCTGATATGCTCCTTTAATAAGAGAATGGCCAAGTGCAGTGGCTCACGCCTGTAATCCTAGCACTTTGGGAGGTCGAGGTGAGTGGATTGCCTGAGCCCAGGGGTTCAAGACCAGCCCGGGCAACTTGGCAAAACCTTGTCTCTACAATAGATCAAAAAAATGAGCCAGGCTTGGTAGCATTCTGGCTACTTGGAAGACTGAGGCAGAAGAATTGCTGGAGCCCAGCAGGTTGATGCTGGGGTGGCTGTGAGTGTGCCACTGAACTCCAGCCTGGGTACAGAGTGACTCCAACTCAAAAGAAAAAAAAAAGAAGAAGAATGGTTAGGGGTTCCCTCCCAGAGGTCATCAGCCCATCCACTTTCACCTTCTCCCCTCCAGAAGATACAGAGAACCTTTTTTCCATCTCATATATAAGTCTACGGTCAAACTTTAGGACAAAAAAGATATGGGGGAGAACTAGCAGGGCCCTGAGGGGGAAAGGTCAGTTTGTCAGTATGGGGCAAAGGTGAGGGGGTCAAAGTCTGGACTGGGAAAAGATGCATAAATATTTGCAAATGCTATGTCCTTTGCTGTTTTGGAACCATCAAAATGGCTTCCTTATGATTCTGGCTAGAGTGAAGAAAAAGGCAGGATTAAAAACAATAGCAAAGCAACAATAACAGTTATTCAGATCCAAAAATGAGGTGTTTGGACCATCATGTTCCTCTAGCTTGTTGCTTCCTCAAAATGGGAGAATCACTCATAGACTTTAAGAGTGAAGGGAGCCGGGCTCGGTGGCTCAGCCTGTAATCCCGTGCCTTTGGGAGGCTGAGGTGAGTGGATTGCCTGAGCCCGCGGGTTTGAGACCCACCTGGGCAGCGAGACCTCATCTCTACAATAAATCAAAAAATCAGCCGGGCGTGGTAGTGCATGCCTGTAATTCCGGCTACTTGGAAGGCTGAGGCGGAAGGATCCCCGGAGCCCAGCAGGTTGAGGGTGTGGTGGCCGGGAGCGGCCACTGCACTCCAGTCTGGGTGACAGAGTGAGACTCCAACTCAAAAAAAAAAAAAAAAAAGTGAAGAGAAGGCTAGGCTCAGTGGTTCAGCCTGTAATCCCAGCAATTTAGGAGGCCAAGACGAGTGGATTGCCTGAGCCTGTGAGTTAGAGACCAGCTCGGGCAACTTGGCAAGATCTGTGTCTACAATAAATCAAAAATTAACGTGGTAGCGTGCCTATAGTTCCGGCTACATGGAAGGCTGAAGCGGAAGGATCACCTAAGCTCAGAATGTCGAGGCTGCGGTGGTGGTGAGTATTCCACTACACTCCAGCCTGGGTGACGAAGTGAGACTCCAACTCAAAAAAAAGAGTGAAGGGAGATGTAACCAGGCACGGTGGCTCAAACCTGTAATCCCAGTGCTTTGGGAGGCAGAGGCAAGAGAATTGCCCTGAGCCCTGGGGTTCGAGGCCAGTCTGGGCAACTTGACCAGGTGTCATCTCTACATTAAATCAAAAAATTAGCAGGGCATGGTGGTGCACACCTGAGGTTCCAGCTACTTGGAAGGCTGAGATGGAAGGATCGCCTGAGCTCAGCAGGTCGAGGCTAGGGTGGCTGTAAGTGTGCCTGAGTGACAGAATGAAACTCAGAAATAAAAAAGAGTGAAAAGAAGCCGGGCTCAGTGGCTCAACCTGTAATCCCGCGCCTTTGAGAGGCTGAGGTGAGTGGATTGCCTGAGCCCGCGGGTTCGAGACCCACCTGGGCAGCGAGACCTCATCTCTACAATAAATAAAAAAAAAAAATCAGCCGGGCGTGGTAGCGCATGCCTGTAATTCCGGCTACTCGGAAGGCTAAGGCAGAAGGATCACGGGAGCCCAGCAGGTCAAGGCTGCGGTGGCCGGGAGCGGCCACTGCACTCCAGTCTGGGGTGACAGAGTGAGACTCCAACTCAAAAAAAAAAAGAGTGAAAGGGAATATGCTCAGGGCAATCGAAGTTACCAAGGGCTAAGTCACTTTCTAGCTCTGGTCAGTCTTGGTGTCTCCTCATCCTGAGCCCTTCCCTACTTCCCAGCCTGAGCACTGTTCCCTTCCAGCAGGGCTCTCCCGCCGTCCCGCCATGATCCGGGCTGTGCTGCTCCTTGGCTGTGTCCTGCTGTCCTCGGTGGCTGCCTTCCCAAGGAGAGCCCAGAACGGGGCCCCGACCTTCAGGCCGTCTTTCACAGAAACTGGGCATCCATCCAACATCCTTTCCAGCCAGACCCTGCTCCCGGATCCCAGGACCTGCCGGGACCTCTTGCACACAGCCCCCTCCTTAGCCCCTCTGCCTGAGTACCTGTCCACTCTAGCTCTGAGGGTGGCCCTGGAGGAGGTTGGCTGCCCAACTGAGGCCCACATTCTGCGGCTTCAGCTCAGTAGGATGGAAGAAAAGGACACCACTGATTCGGGACCCGCCTGGGCAACTTGGCAAGACCTCATCTATACAATAAATAAAAAAATTAGCCAGGTGTGGGAGCGCGCGTCTGTAGTTCCAGCTACTTGGAAGGCTGAGGTGGAAGGATTGCCGGAGCCGAGCAGGTGGAGGCTGCAGTGGCCGGGAGCGACCACTGCACTCCAGTCTGGGCAACAGAGTGAGACTCCAACTTAAAAAAAAAAAAGGCCCTCATCCATGAGAGGCAAAAGCTCAATGAGGAGGAAGATATTGGCAATACAAACATCATTATAAGGAACTAGTGATCCCTCAGCATTTAGCTACCCACCTGAGTATTGATGGTGACAAATATAGCCAGTGGAGTGACTGGTCTACCAGTTACCTCAGCTGGTGACTGAGTTTCCTGAAAAGCCATCTCACATGTTATTGGTGTCATAGTTCAAATCTTTGCTGTCAACGCACCAAGAACTGTAGGTATGAGTTTTGAGAGCATACTGAGTAATTAGGCAAAAAGTTGAAGAAGCCCCTAAGTTTAGAACCTTTAGTCCTTTGCTTTGCTACAACTCTGATGTGTCCATGTGCCACCATGTTTCTTAGCTTTGGCTCCCTCCTATCTTTTTTTTTTTTGAGTTGGAGTCTCACTCTGTCACCCAGACTGGAGTGCAGTGACCGCTCCCGGCCACCGCAGACTCGACCTGCTGGGTTCCGGCTATCCTTCCGCCTCAGCCTTCCAAGTAGCTGGAATTACAGGCGCGCGCTACCACGCTCGGCTAATTTTTTGATTTATTGTAGAGATGAGGTCTCGCCTGCCCAGGCGGGTCTTGAACCCGCGGGCTCAGGCAATCCACTCACCTCAGCCTCCCAAAGGTGCGGGATTACAGGCTGAGCCACCGAGCCCGGCCCTCCTATCTTGAAGAGGTGAATTTCTCTATTTCCTCTCTCTTCTCTCTAATTTGCTTTCTAAATAAACTATACTTTCCTATCTAAAAAAAAAAAAGGAATCTTTAAAGCCTATGAAAAATGGCAATATGACCTACCAAATGTTCCACAGCTATTCTGAAGTGCTTTATAGGAAAAATGATTCAGGACTTTATCTAGGCTTTCTTCAGATGTTTAATGACATATAAGTAACAAGTCTTCTTTCCTAGGACTGCATTCAAGGGTGGAACAGAGTAAGTAGTTAGAAATGTTGGAGACTGCTTAGGTCAGATGTCTGCTCTTTATTTAAGCCCTTTGTTTAAGTACACGTGTGGCTGGTGTTAGCCTTGCCCCTCTCCACCTATTAGGTATCAGTCCCCATTCCTCATCCTATTTCCCCCTCTTCTTTCAGTCATCAAATACTGTACTTTTATTGTTTGTTTGTTTTGAGTTGGAGTCTCACTCTGTCGCCCAGGCTGGAGTGTGGTAGCACACTCACAGCCACCCCAGCATCGACATGCTGGGCTCCCGCGATCCTTCTACCTCAGCTTTCCAAGTAGTTGGAACTACAGGCACGCTGGTCTCACCAAGTTGCCCCGGCTGGTCTTGAGCCTGCGGACTCAGGCAATCCACTTGCCTCAGCCTCCCAAAGAACTGGGATTACAGGTTGAGCCACAAAGCCTGGCCAAATATTATACTTTTAATATGTACTAGGCATAAGAGGTATTTTAACAATTTTCACTCATCTCCCCTGTACTTTCAAAATCCCCAACTAGGTCATTGCCAGGTCATTGCAGCCATTTCTAGACCATTGTGGCCAATGCCTTACTAAATTCTGATGTGGCCATGTGCTCTTTGAGCTATGTCGGTCGCCATGTTTTCTGGCTTTGGCTCCCTTCCCTAGCTTGGGGAGGTGAATCTCCTCTTTCTTTCTCTCTCTAATTTACTTTTAAGTAAACTATATTTTCTAATCTAAAAAAAAAGTCCCTAGCTAGACATTGTAGGTTGTTAATTTGTTGGGTTTTTTTTTTGAGTTGGAGTCTCACTCTGTTGCCCAGACTGTAGTGCAGTGGCCGCGAGCGGCCACCACAGCCTCGACCTTCTGGGCTCCGGTGATCCTTCCACCTCAGCCTTCCAATTCAGCAGCCGGAATTACAGGCATGCGCTACCACGCCCAGCTGATTTTTTGATTTATTGTAGAGATGAGGTCTCACTGCCCAGGCGGGTCCCGAACCCATGGGCTCAGCCAATCCACTCACCTCTGCCTCCCAAAGGCGTGGGATTACAGGCTAAGCCATCAATCCCGGCTGTTAATTTGGTTTTTTATTTTTTTTTATTTATTTATTTATTTTGAGTTGGAGTCTCATTCTGTCACCCAGACTAGAGTGCAGTGGCCGCTCCCAGCCACCACAGCCTCGACCTGCTGGGCTATGGCAATCCTTCCGCCTCAGCCTTCCACGTAGCTGGAACTACAGGCGCGTGTTACCACGCCCGGCTAATTTTTTGATTTATTGTAGAGATGAGGTCTTGCCTGCCAGGCAGGTCTCGAACCCACGGGCTCAGGCAATCCACTCACCTCAGCCTCCCAAAGGCGTGGGATTACAGGCTGAGCCATCGAGCCCGGCTAATTTGGTTATTTATTTATTTATTTTTATTTTTTGAGTTGGAGTCTCACTCTGTCCCCCAGATGGAGTGCAGTGGCCGCTCCCAGCCACCGCAGACTTGACCTGCTGGGCTCCGGAGATCCTTCCGCCTCAGCCTTCCCAGTAGCCAGAATTACAGGTGCGCGCTACCATGCCCGGCTAATTTTTTTGATTTATTGTAGAGATGAGGTCTCGCCAAGATGCCCAGGCGGGTCTCAAACCCGCAGGCTCAGGCAATCCACTCACCTCACCCTCCCAAGGCGCGGGATTACAGGCTGAGCCACCGAGCCCGACTTAATTTGGTTTTTTAAATGAAAAGAGAAAGACAGCCGGCTTTATTTGGTTTTTTAAATGAAAAGAGAAAGACAGCCCAGCTCGGTGGCTCAGCCTGTAATCTCAAACCTTGGGAGGGTGAGGTGAGTGGATTGCTTGAGCCCGCGGGTTTGAGACCCGCCTGGGCAACTTGGCGAGACCTCATCTCTACAATAAATCAAAAAAATTGTTGGGCATGGTAGCGCATGCCTGTAGTTCCAGCAACTTGGAAGGCTGAGGCAAAAGGATCGCCAGAGCCCAGCAGGTCGAGGCTGCGGTGGCCGGGAGTGGCCACTGCACTCCAGTCTGGGAGACAGAGTGAGACTCCAACTCAAAAAAAAAAAAAAAGAAAGAAAAGAGAAAGAAAATGAGAGAATCATAAACATCTAATCTTTCCTGATTCTGAGTCTCCCTGGCTCCTATTATAAGCTTAGAATGGGAATGTGGCCTAGACATCTAGGAAATGCCAAAGAACAGGATCTTAGCTTTTGAGGTTGACAAAGGGACAAGGTTGAACAGTCAGTATAAATGGGCAAATATTTGCATAGATTACGTCCCCTGTTGATCACAGGGGAAAGCAAATATCTCCTTTCCTCACTTTCATAGGACAGAGAACTAGGCAGAACAGGATCCCGGAGCGACCAAATCTACCAAGGCAGTATCACTTCTCAATGACTGGACTGTGTGGTAATTTGGGGTCTCTATGTGTGGGTGGTAATAAAACAGAGGAAGTCCCTGGTGAACTGTAAATGGGGAAGATCAAGAGAGAGCAATTGGGGGAGAAGTTTCCTATTTCCTAGGCCTTTACATAAAATAACAGAAGCTTGGAGGTAGGTTATGTTGGAGGTGTCCACTGATTCTTGGGCTCTTTTCAGACCACAGCCTTTAGAGACATGGTTTGCATGTTTTGGGTTTCTCCCTTTCTAGAGTGCTCTGCTGTAGGCATGCGCAGCCTCAGGCTCATCATGACACCCGTTGAACTGCTTCTTTGCTACTTCCTGCTGCTGCACCCGGTGGATACCATTTCATATGGAAAGCCAACAAATGTCTTGGTGCACCCTTCCGTGTCCTTGGGATCCTCAGACCCCTTGTTCTGCCAGACCCTCCTCCCAAAGTCCCTGCCTGGCTTCACCCACATGGCCCCTCTACCCAAGTTCCTAGTAGGCCTGGTTCTAAGGAACGCCTTGGAGAAAGCTGGCTGCCCTGCTAGTGTCTGGGCCTTGCAGCTTCAGCTCTACCGCCAGGGTGGTGTGAAGGCTACACAGGTCCTCATCCACCATCTTCAAGAGCTTCAGAAAGGCGGAAGAACAAGGAGGGGAGTGTCAGTGGAAGCCCTGGCCTCTGCTCTGCAGCTGTTAGCCAGAGAGCAGCTAGGCCCAGAGAGGACCCGACGCTCCCTCCCCACCGAGGTCTGTGATAATGAGCGGGAACAAAGAGTTCATGGTGTCCTCCAACTGTTGCCACAAGTGGGAACCCTCTACAACCTGGGCACAGCTTTGTATTATTATACTCAGAATTGCACAGACAAGGCCAAGGAACGAGGCCAAGATGGGGCCATAGATCTAGGATATGACCTTCTGATGGCCATGGCTGGGGTGTCAGGGGGGCCTATGGGTCTAGCGATCAGTGCTGCACTTAAACCTGCATTAAAGTCTGGGGCTCAGCGGTTGATCCAGTATTATTATGACAAGCAAAAAGCAATTGTCCCTCTGCCAGAGACCAGCATGGAGAGTTTAAGGGACACCTCAGATATGAGTGACTTGGAAGAAATAACTACTTCAACTCCTTTGGTGTCAGAAGCAGTCACTTCAGCTCCATCCTGGGGGTGGGCCTTCTTCAAGAGCTATGGCATAGATCTTGGGGCTGGGAGTGTTGGGATATAAAAGAAGGTGGTAACCACAGAATGAATAAACTTAATATTCTGACAAGCCATATGCATGTGTTCAAAAACTTAATCTCTGATTTATTCAGGAGTGTTATAAAATGTCAGAGGATTTGGTGTTGAATCCAGGCTCCACTTGTTAGTGCCTGGGTGATCACTGACTAGTAACTTCTTTCTCATACGAAGCTGTTTTTACATTTCTTTTTTTTGAGTTGGAGTCTCACTCTATCACCCAGACTGGAGTACAGTGGCTGCTCCCGG